GGGGAGGGTGGTGGACGCTTGGTGGTGACTCACCCATACCTCGCCCGCGCCGCCGAATAAGCGGACCGAGCGCGCGCGCGCGCAGGAGAGCAGAAGCAGGAGGGTCGGTCCGAGTCGGGCCCCTGCCGCCCCCCACCCTGTCGCCGAGGGGCTCTCTGATCCTCATTCATCTGTAATGCCCACATACATGCGTGCTCTTACGCGTCGTGGCCGCGCGCCCACATGTGTGTGTGTGAGAGAGAGAAAGAAAGAGAGACGAGTATGGTGAGTGGAAAAGAGAGAAATGGATGGGCTGGGGGCGGCGGGCAGACGGACAGACAGACAGACAGACTGTGCGGCGTCTCGTGCCCGGTCGGGAATGTGCCAAGCGCGGGAGCGTTGGGGTCCCCGGGGCCGGGCCGGGCCGACAAGGGGAAAATAATAATAAAAAGATGGGCCCGGGGGGCACCCGGGGCGTGCCGTGTCCGGAGGAGAGAGAGGGGGAGGGGCAGTGGAACTCGACGATGGCGTGGTCCCCAAAAGAGGCGCGCAGGGGCGGAGAGCTCTCTCCTCTCTGCCTCCTCCTCCTGCATCCTGCACCGCGCAAGGTTCCCTCGCACTCTCACACACACACGGTCATACCCACCCACACACATGCAGTTGCGGTACAGTACACGCGCCGCCGCCGGTCGCGCTCCTGCTGTGGTCCATCCAACCCATCCATCCATCCATCGGGGCGTGGTGTGTAGCCAGGGCAGCGTAACGAGTAGTACAGTAATAACGTTGGGGGAGCCATTTATCAATCACCTCGCGTATCAATACGATACAATGTGCGTCCATCGATTAATTGGGCGTGGCGAGGCGGGCGGGCCGGGGCCGGCGGGCACGCGATCGAACGGGATGGAGCGGCACCACCACCGGCCGGCCCAGCAGCACCACGAGCGCGCGGGCGTGTTCACTTTTATATTTACAATGAATGCGGCGGGGTGGGGCGGGGCAGGGCCCCGCTGGTGTGAAAGTGGAAGAAAGCGTCATTATGCCGTGTGCTCCAGCCCCTGTTGGGGCGTGGCGGCCGGGCGGGCCGCGGTGGGGTGGGGCGGGGCGGGGCCCGCTGCTGGAACGGACGCGCGGCCAGGACAGACGTCTTCATGCTCGGCCCCCGAGCCCGAAAGCCCTTTTGCTCTGCTCGTTTTATTGTATTGAATTCTCAGTCCGACGCCAGCAACAGCAGCAGCCTCACACCTTCAACTGAAATGCGTCTTGTGATGACCTTTGACGACGAAACGAACAGAATATTTTCATGTGGCGGTATCTGAGAAACATTCCCGCGAACGCGCCAACGCCTATGAATGAATGACAAACTCTCCTGACTGTGGACCTCTGGTTTCTGTTGCAGCGCACGTGGGCAACGAGATGTACTTGTCGCGCGCGCTGGAGCGCCTCGGGGGCACCGCCATGGAGAAAGACTCCGAGCCGGACATAGGTGCGGCCTTCCTCAAGTTTGCCGTCGTCACCAAGGAGCTGTCAGCCCTCATGAAGACGCTGGTGAGTCTGCGGACCGACAGTCCAGCCTTGGGATTTTAAAGTCCGACATTTTCCCGAAAAACTTAAACTTTTTTTAGAAAAAAATTGAAAAATTAAGAGATCAAAGAATAAATTCTTGGAAAATTTCCCAAAAAATGTTTTTTTTCCGGAAAATTAAAATCCCTACTCCAGTATTTGGTTCCTAGACGGAGTTGTTCACGACTCGCGCCTTCTGTCATTGCAGATGCAGAACATCAACAACATCGTCATGTTCCCGCTCGACACGCTGCTCAAGGGGGACCTGCGGGGCGTCAAGGGCGACCTCAAGAGGCCGTTCGACCGCGCGTGGAAGGACTACGAGACCAAGTACACCAAGATCGAGAAGGAGAGGAAGGCGCACGCCAAGGAGGCGGGCCTCATCCGCACCGAGATCACCGCCCCGGAGGTGGCCGAGGACATGGAGAAGGAGCGGCGGCTGTTCCAGCTGCAGATGTGCGAGGTAGGCCGGCCGGACCTCCACCAATCACCCCTCCCTATGTCGCACCTGTCTCTTGCAATGCTGCATTGAATGAATAATTAATTTTATACGTTTTGTTTCAGTACCTTATTAAAGTCAACGAAATCAAGACAAAGAAAGGAATAGAATTGCTACAGCACTTGGTAGAATATTATCATGCGCAAACCAAGTAAGTTTTTCTGTGGTATTAAATATTTTTCTTCTCATTTTTGAGGTACTCTCTCTTTTACCTAATGCAATTCGTTTGATTATCCTTCAGTTACTTCCAAGATGGTCTCAAAACCATTGAACACTTTGGGAGCTATGTAGCAGACCTCTCAAATAAACTTCAGAAAATCAGACAGAAACAAGATGAAGAGCGTCGTCGACTTTCTGAACTGCGAACTCTGTTAAGAAATGCCCCCGGTCTTGAGAAGGAGGTATGTGTCATATGCGGTCCCTTGTAGCTTCTGTGACCTAGACCAATTTAACCGTTTGTAGTATAACTATATACCCAGCATCTGAATGTGTCAACTTTCCCAAAAGCTTTGCTTCATTTGAATGCTACCACTATGTTTATTTGAAAACATTTTACTGGTTGTCTTTTTAATTTTAAATATCTTTCAATTGCTTTAAATTTTGTTTCATATTTTCCTTTTGTTACAATTCTTTCTGCCTTTTTTGCTTCTTATATTTGATTTGTTTTTTGTTTTGTTTTTGTCTTGTGTGCTGTCTCCTTGCTGCTTGTGCCATTTAAAGCAACATCCACGTACGCATGAAAATCCACAAGCACGTGGAAACCCCATTGTGACAGGACCAGAAAAAGTCCCTGAAAGATCAGAACGGGTAAAATTTTTGTTTATTTTTAACTACTTTTATTGCGTTTTTTTGTGCTGCTCTTTTTTACAATGGTCTATTTACACCTCACATGCAAGTTTTTGTTACTAATTTTCATTTGCAGGTGGCCAATTCTACTAATGATAGAGGTACAGACAAGAGTGGAGGCTACTCTCTTCACCAGCTTCAAGCATGTGACAAACAAGCTGGCAACACTCGAACTGGACACCTACTCAAAAAGTCTGAAGGCAAGATGAGGAGAGTGTGGCAGAAAAGAAAGTGTTCCGTTCAAGCTGAAGGATTCCTGGACATTTGTCATGCAGATGAATCCAAACCTCCTACCAAGGTTAACCTTTTAACATGCCAAATCAAACTTGTTCCTGACGATAAACGCTGTTTTGACCTTATCTCATGTAAGTATAAACAACAGCACTAAATCATTACAAGTTATCTTATCCTTGTAACTTATTGTTGAATTGTTGATTTTAGATAACCGGACATACCACTTTCAAGCTGAGGATGAAGCTGATCAACGGGCGTGGATGTCAGTTCTAGTTAATTGTAAAGAAGGCGCTTTACATCGGGCATTTGATGACAGTGGAAAATCAGGTGGATCGAAAATTAACCCTAGCCTTTTAGAACTGCAGCAAGCTATAATTCGTTATGTGCAAAAACTTCCTGGTAATGACAGATGTTGTGATTGTAATTCTCAAAATGGTAAGTATAGTATATGTTATTGAAGGAATTGTATGTCTCTCAATTTATATTTACTATGTTGCTAATTGGTTATTATTTATTCAGATGCTACTTGGCTCTCAACAAATTTTGGTATAATAGTGTGTATTGAATGCTCCGGCATTCATAGGGAGATGGGTGTTCACATTTCACGAATACAGTCATTGACACTTGACAATGTTGGAACTTCCCAATTATTATTAGCTAGGCATATGACAAACAATGCCTTTAATGACATAATGGAAGCAAGTCTACACTGTCCTAAACTTAGTCCAAATAGTACAATGTGAGTACTTTCCACTACTTGCTGATACAATATTTTTCCTTTTGTTTTGTACTTGGATTTACTACTTTTGATTTTTGTTTTTACAGGGAAGAACGATATGAATATATTCGTGCCAAATATGTTGATAAGAAATTTGCCATCCAAACCTGTGCTGATGAAAGAGATTTATTGAGTGACTTAGAACATGCTGTCAATAATAGAAATCTTTATCATTTACTTCAAGTGTTTGCTGAGGGTGCTGACTTTGGCTCACCTTTACCAACATCTGTAAGCTGTTACTTTTATGTTTTTTTTTTTTTTTTTTATGTTAAATTTGATATGTAAATGAATATATTTTAAATTGCTACTTTTCTTCTCTTATTCCAGGATATAGGGGAAACTGCACTTCATTTAGCAGTTGTTCGGGAGCTTGGTGGTTCATTGCATATTGTTGACTTTCTTGTACAAAATATGCCCAGCCAAGCAATTGATAGAGTTACCGCCAACTTCAGCACTCCAGGAACACCTGCAGGAACTCCTGGCAGTGGACAACATTCACCAATGTCAGTAGTAATGATAGGATTCTCTTGTTTCCTTTATTACATTATAGGATTCTGAAATTTAATAATCTTTTATTTCCAGATCTAATGCTAGAGCTGGAAATTCTGCCCTTCATTTGTGTGCAATTCATGATAGAGTAGAGTGTATGAAGCTTCTTATTCGGAGTGGAGCTGATCCTATGTTAAAAAATGCAATGGATAAAACTGCTTTAGATTTGGCTCAAGAAAGAGGTCACCATTCATGTGAAGAACTGGTATGTTTATACAACCATTGTAAGTTTTAAAAAATTGATGTGTTTCTTAAACTAATTCTTTTTTCTATTTTAGTTGAGGCATGCTTTACAAAGGCAGAAAAGTGTATTTGACAATATCAACATTGATTGGAATTTATCCCATGATGAAGGGTCAACAGATTTCTCAGATGATGAAACAGTTATTGAAGACAGGGTGAGTATCAGTCTGTTGGTTTTTTATGTTTACAGAAGTTACCATCAATCTTTTTCATCTTTATTCATTATCCGACTCTTTTCAGAATGGATGCATCACACCAGAAAAGAAAAGCAGATCCCGTCCTCCTAGTTATGCTGGGGCTGGGCGAGAGTCACCAGTCAATATTCGCTCTAGATCTTCGACTTGTGATAGCCTCAAGTCTGGAAGTAGCCCTAATACCTATAGACAAAACATGGCTCCACCACCTCCACCACAAAATAGGAAACCCTCCATAGGTATTTTTAATAATAATACATAACTCTAAACTTTTTAGAAATATATTGTATATTCAGAGTAGAGTTAATTTCACCCTGTAGATGAAGTAGTTTTTACAATAGTGGATTTACAGGTTGGAATGTGGGCTTATCTCGCTCAAAGTCACTCTCCAACACAAGGTCATTTTTCTCCAACATTTGTGAGTTTTGTGATCCACTGATTGTTTTGTCTGTCATCTGTTGGGTTTGCTTCGTTCATGTTCAAGCCTCTGTGTGACAGTTCAGCAATCTTTTATGGAATTGATCAAAAGTTTAACTCTTATCATTTTAACAGCTGTGATTGCTCCCTCTAATAGGTGTAGAACTTAACCAGAAATCCCTCTCAGCCAAATCCTGTGTGTTTCTGTGAAGCATGGTGAAATTTATTTTTGCCAAAGATGTAGCTTATGTGTCTTGTTCGTCTTGTTTTGCTTTGATTTAGTTTTGTTGTTTGAAACTCTGCTTTATTTACTTAGTTTCCTATGGACTGATACCATACCACTTCTTTGTTGCAGTGACGGGTGTGAATGCCCATGGAAGTTTGAAGAAGCGTGCGGCACCCATGCCGCCCATGTATGGGACACTACCAAGCAATTCAAGTCACTCACGAACACCGTCTGATCCTTCCCTCCAACTCCAGGGCTTTCACACACTTAGTCATCACAAACGATCGCCATCAAGCGAGTCAGGATCACATGCCTCCACCTTGGCTGCTTCTGGAAATAGGGGATCTATTCCTTCAGCAATTCACCTTGGTGAGCATACACTCACTGCATTATAATATTGTCAAAATTGCAATTTATTTAAAATATTGTCATCTGAATACTGTGTGTGTGTGTGTGTGTTTTGCAGTTGGTGCCAAATTAGTCATTCCCCCCGGAGAAGTCCCCATGTTGAAGCCTTCTTCCTCCATGGATAAGTCAGGTGGTAAGTATTAGAACTTATACCTAAAATTCTTAGCAAAGGTTTTAATGACACCACTTATACCTGTTCTGTTTGCTGACAGTACGGAGACCTGTTGGGCCCCCTCCACCAGTTCCGCCACTGGGACCAGGGATTGGCTCTGGTGGTGGTCCATTGAGAATGACGAATGGTCGATCTTCAGAAAGCATATCATCTATGTCCAGCGACATGGAGCAAGCGGTCTTGGGAGTTGGAACAAGTGCACACAACCCTGTACCACCACCTAGAAAGGTGAGTAAAATGTCTCTAAAGGTCACATATTTTGTAGTCCCTTATGGTATACAGTGAGGCTCTGGATCTTGGTGGACAGTTTTGTCAATTTTGACATTGGTATAAAAAAAAAATTTCATGTAAATTGCACTTGGCCTTACTTTGTCGTAGTTGTTGCTTCTCATATACAGACAGTTTTTGTCTCATGTGTATTGATCATAAGATGACTTTTTCAGAGAAAAGACAGGGGGCTTCTGAGAGGCCTTGAAGGTATAAACTATATTAGGGCTTACCCTTATCCTCAAATGGTAATGACAATGAATGAAGTAATTTTGAGTGTGGGCAGATTTGCTATCAATACTTACCAAGTGCAGATTTCACTCATCAGCTTTATGTACCACCAATGATGTGTGTGGTTTGCAGTAAAGTTCTGTGGCACAAAATTGTGGATCTCGTAGCTAATATAGTCTTTAACTAATAGGTGCTAGAAAATTCATGATGTCGCCGTTGCTTATGCAGTTTGCTATTGTTTTTGTGTCATAACTTACCGTAACTATATATTTATATGTTAAACTGGACCTAATACAGTTTGCCTGATGGTTCCCGTTACACTAACATATTTGATCATGATGTGATATGTTTCTAAACAGCAAATGAAAAATTAAGAACTGGTTCCCTTTTTCACTACTCTAAACTTTTACTTCTTTTTTCTAGCCATACTTCTACTGTCCTTTGCCACAACAACAACAACAACCTCCTCCTGGAAGTCCTCACGGGAGTCCATCCGATATGGAATTGAATCCGAACCATTCCAACCTTAATCTCCGTGGTGCTGGAACTCCTACTACACCGCAGTCAGCTATCGGCACTAGGAGATGTAGGGCGCTTTACGACTGTGAAGCTGACAATGAGGATGAATTGTCCTTTAGGGAAGGAGAAACAATTATTGTCACTAATGAACAAACTGATGATGAAAATTGGATGGAGGGAGTATTAGAAAGAGCGCCTGATATTAGAGGAATGTTTCCTATTAGCTTTGTTCATATGCTTCCAGATTGAATTCATCTCAAGAAGGTATGTTAAAGTTTTCAAACTTTCCTATTTAGTCATACAGTTATGTGTAAATTGGCCTCATTTTCACAAATGTTAACCAAAAGTTTGATGGGTTATAGTGTCTGAGCCGTCAGTAGAACAACAAAAATGTATTTTCAAAGGATTTCTTGTATGGAACATTGTTGTATGCATGCTTAGCTCTCTTGTTAGGTTTCTCATACAACATATCTATTCTTTTTTAGTTTTCTGTCATCCCTTTAGCATGTTTCACTTGTTATCAGTGCACAAATGATAACATGGCCTGAAGGATTTCAATACAGAAAAGCTCATAAACTTGCACAAACTTACCGTAAGTAATCTGCTATTTTAGCAATTATATTTCATCTTGCACAAGTTGATTTTCCATACCCTAAAGAAAATTGGGAGACGTAAGCCGGAAAAATCCTTGTAATCACTCTGCCTGGCTTGTGCCCATGCATACCTGTGCTACATTGCATTTGCTACTTTTTTAAAAATTCTACTTCTATAGATTGTTTTTTGTTTTTCTTCTTGATATTATTTGACCTTTTGTTACGAATCCCAAAGGTCCTTAAGGTTTCATTTGTTTTTCATTGGTTAACATTACTGTTTTTATTATATTTGCTCATAGTACAGTAAAACCTGGAGACAGCATATTTACAGTGCTGTGCTGTGTCTAGGTAGTTTCAACATGTTTAGGGCAACGTGTCTGTGAATGTAGGTTGTGTGTACTTTTAAGAATCAGACTATACATTATGAATTCTAATTACTTCTGGTTCATTATTTTTAAAATTATGCTGCAGTTCATATACTTTTACTGTTATCTGAATATTTGGGTATTTTTGTAACAGAATTTAAGGGCGTTCATCTCGGTTTTCCAAGGAGAGGTTTTGGATGGCAGAAGAAGTACCTTTTAATCTTGTAATTTGGTGCAAACATAACTTTGACATTGGTTTTAGAATCTGCTAAAAAAAAAGAGAAAGTAGCTATATCACTAACCCAGATGACTTCAAAACTATAACTCTTGAAATCCACAAGTAGCCCAAAGAATAAGTTATTGCTGTGAAATGCATTAGTTTTATAATTACTTTTCTTGTGATACCGCTATTTCACAGCACAAGAATAGTACCCAGATGTGGGTATTAATGCTTTAAATGTAGGTTTTAGGCAGCAATATTGTTTTAGCAATTTTTCATAGCTGCCCTGCAACACTTGAAGCCAAAGATGTGGGATGAAATCCCTTTTGTTTTTATTGTTTAATTTCTTCTGTTGTTAAGTCTTATGTTCCTCTCTAATCATACAGAAATGATGTATATTTACCATTAGTATTTTGAGATTGACTTGTAAATATCTTATATTTATAGAACTTTATAGATATTTTATGTGTATATGATTTATCTGTGTATTCATAGTTCTATGTAATTTGTGTCTGAAAGCCGTAAGTGTATAAACATTATGATTTTCATGTTATCGATTGTTCAATCTATTATTTATGTGACTAAGACTCTCTGTTGACACTTCAAAAATTCTGACTAGACATTGAGTCAGCCTATTGGACAACGATGATCAGAATCTGAACTGCCCGCTGAGAGTATGAACGAAATTACGAATGGCCTCTATCTTCCTTGTTGTGCTCAGAACTAAGAGAAAGAAAAGGCCATCCTTTAACTATGATTTTAAACATTCTTATGTATCTGAATGTAGTAAATATCTAAATATCTCTTCCACAGTATACCTATATGATAGTATATATGTCATAATTTCCTGTTCTTTTGATTTATAAAACTCTTTGTGACCTTTTGATGTTTTTTGTGTGTTTGGGTCAGTTTGTCTGTGATGTTTTTACCTCACTGTAAGACTTTGCTTGAAAACTCATTGATTCATATATCCTAAAGATCTGAAAAGATAAATACTCCAAGCACAACAAGAGCTGTTGAAAGTCAGTCCACTATGTTACCAGTGTCTTCCTTTGCTCTTTTTCTCCTTTGCATTGAGGGCTGTTTAATCACCCTAACAGCAACTTATGTTAGTTTTTTATTAAGTAATGTTTTTAATTTGACACTGTAAAGCCATCTATGACATCTAAAGGTAAATTGCTAATAAGGGAACTGATAAAAAAATTAAATCATTCTAAAGTGCTTATTGTTGACTCTTGTGATGAATGTTTGTTCTAAACAGTAAAAGGGCAGTGAGTTCCTGTTTATCGGTCTGTAATACTGTGGTACTGACAGAAATTTCGTCCTGTTGCTTAAGTCATGTTTACTCAGAAAGATTAATATTTCTCATAGCTTGCTATTTTATTCTTTTAATTTTTATCTTTCCTTGTCACTTTTTATTTTGTTTTCATCAAATTGACATAGACAAAGAGAAGTGGAAAAACTATTCTGGTGTAGATATGAAATTGGATATTTTAACAAGGGCAGTCGGCTCTTGTCCCTTAACAATCTAGTCTTTCAGCCGGTAAGTGATTGCTTTGTTCTGCCGAGCTGTTAGTGAGTGTCGGTTTCAAAGAGAGAGACACCTTTATTCTGTTGTAGAGTATTGTTGTTTCTATCAATAATAAAATCCTTCTGGACTTAACTGATCTGCATTTGTTTTATCCGGCCCTCATCTCATCCAAAAACAGGCACACTGAAAGTACTAGCGCACATGTACCCAACGCATCTGTGAAATCGCTCACGTTTTGGTTGTGCTCGATTCCAATCCCTACAGCGTCTCCCTGTCCCCTGTCCCCTCCCGCGCAGCCCTGCCCCTCCCACCACCCCTCGCGGTCCCTCTTCACCTGTGTGCTAACGATCTAGCGGGCTGCGTGCCGGTTGGACCTGGGGCCGGAGCAGACCAGTGCATCGAGAAGGTGTGGAATCGACAGTGGCTGGGTCTGGGCGCTGCGCCGAGCTCAACATGCCGGAAAATCGGAGATTTGGAGTCCCAGTGAGTGGCGTTGGGCAGCCACGCATCGCCGGAGAGTGACACCACGTTGACCTTGACCTTTCCCTCTCAGAGAGATGGCCACTGGCTACACTATGTCGGAGACTGCGGGGCGGCAGCGGGCTTCCTGGAGTCCAGGTCCCCGGCCACGGGTTGGGTCCTCGTCATGTTCTTGGACGCACTGCTCAGGTCCTTCGGACAGGTAAGACCTTCGGGCTGCCGCGCGGAGCCTGTGGGCGTGGTCACAGCCCCTGTAACACCTTCCCCTGCCCCGCCCTACCAGCTGGTCCTGGCCAACAACCCCCTGAGCGGCGCCGTGGTCCTGACCGCCCTGTGCGCCGTGCAGCCCTGGGCGGGCCTCGCGGCACTCTCTTGTGCGTCCATCGCCATCCTGGTGGCCGCGGTGAGTATAGCGAGGGGCTACGAGCAAACACTCTATCATTTTTTCGTGGAGGACATCTGCTCGAGGCCCCCCATCCTATGCATGAGCAGGCCGCGGGGCAGCAGCGCGGCGCGGTGAGTGCGGGGATGGCGAGCTGCGCGGCGGCCCTCTTGGGGGCGGCGACGGTCTGCCTGCTGCAGCCGGAGGCCCTGGACGGACGCGTGTGGACGCTGCTGTACGCGGCGGCGGTGGTCAGGTCGGTGCCCGAGGTCAGCGAGGAGGACAACGAGACCGCCGTAACTCACCCCAAACCCAATTTCGGCTGCCCCACACAGCGTGTACGTCACCTCCTCCCTCAACACGCTCGTGTCCGCCGTGCTGCCTCCAGCCTGGTGGGGCACCGCCCGCCCAAGCGGTGGCTTCAGCCGCCCCCAGTCCGACGACGTGGAGCAGGTGTGGAACCCCCCGCCGGGCAAGGGCCCCTGGCCACCGCTGTTCGCCCTGCCGTACAGCCTGCTGCAGGTGAGAGTGCGGCCAGACGGCGTGCTCCTCGGGGCGATTCAATCAGATTCCACAGATTGACGTCCCGTTCCGCCCCAGCTCGTGTTCTTCCTGTGCCTGATGCACTCCGAGGGCGGGCTGCTGCTGCGGCCGTTGGGTCCGACCGGGGCACCGGGTGACGTGCTCAACGTGACGGAGGAGACGACGCTCGCAGCTACGGCCGTGCCCACGGCCAGCGCGGACGTGAACGTGACCAGGGTCCGGGAGTTCTACGACATCGACCATCTGGACTGGGGGCAGGTGAGGTGGGGTGCGGATGCTGGGGTTCACCGTCATAGCGCACCGATTGTAGTGGCCTGACCGCCCCCCATCTAGATGTTCCAGGGCGTGCTGGTGTCCGCCTCGCAGGTCGTCGCCATGGAGGACCCCGCCGTGTCCGCGGCCGTGTACATCGCCCTGCTGCTGTTCTCGCCCGTGGCCGCGTGCGCCGCGCTGGCGGGGGCCTTCCTGGGCAGCCTGGCCGGCGTCGGCCTCCTGGAGCCGCCCTACACCGACGTGTACCGCGGCCTGTGGGGCGTCAACGGGCTGCTCAGCATGTGGGCCATCTCGGCGCACTCGTTCGTGCTGTCGTGGCACAGCTTGGCGGCGGGCGCGGCGTGCACGCTGCTGGGCGCGGGGCTGCAGGCCGCGCTGGGCGCCCCGCTGCGCGCCGCCGGCCTGCCCGTGCTGCTGCTGCCCCACAGTCTGTCGGCGCTCGTGTTCCTCCTCGTCGCCTCCTCGGCCAGGACGGCGTTCGTGCGGCCCGCCGTCCTCTCCTTCCCCGAGAAGCACAAGTACGACTTCTGGACCGAGCACGAGGACGAGGTGAGTGAGCAGCGGCGCCGTGCACCTCCAGCGGCTCTCTGCTGGACGTTGGACTGACGCGCCTCTCGTTGCAGACCGACGGGGACGACGACGTGACCTCCAAGCGGCCCGCCAGCCCGGCCGACTGAGCTGTCCTGTCGTCTCGTTTAGTTGTCAGCTCATTACCCATCGCCCGCACGGCCGCCATTAGGCGCTCTCAGCAGAAACAACAACTTTTCTCCCGTCATTGTCAACGGATTGAGAACGCCGATGATGGGGCCCGTAGTTTCCATACCCGACAGGCCCGAAACCCTCTTGGTACTTAAAACATTTCATCTATTTTCACTGTTTTTTATACACTGTATTGTTGATGGCGGTTTGAGTTTGCAATTTAAGCGACATCTCCACCGTCAATCAAGTAGTAAAGTAATTTATTATTTTTGTCTTATAGTTTGTACTATTTTTCTCCCCAATGCGCTGTTAGTGAGATTCAATATGTTTGGTCTGGCACGTTGGCTTCACGATGTGTGCCCCGCGTCGTTTGAGCCTCACACCTTAGAGTTCGAGTCAAACGACCCGTACCGGCGCTTCTCCGTGCCGGCGCCGTGCAGCCCCTCTGGTCGCAGCGCAGTCGTCCGTCGGTTCTTCCTGCCGTTGAGGTCGTCCTGGATCTCGTCCAGCGTCCTGCCCTTGGTCTCGGGGAAGAAGAAGAACACGACGGCCACGCCGGCCAGGCAGCACGCGCCGAACACCCAGAAGGACACGTAGACGCCGAGAGTCTCATTGATGGTCGGGAAGAACTTGGTGACGAGGAAGGCGGCCAGCCAGTTGGCGGTGTTGGCCACGGACGAAGCCAGCCCCTTGACGCGGTCCGGGAAGATCTCGCCGACGAAGAGCCACGGCACGGGTCCGAGGCCGATGGAGAAGCCCATCACGTACACGCACGACACCACGACGGGGATCCAGTCCAGCGAGTGGTCCGCGTCCACGCCGCTCTGCAAATGGAGAGACACGGGTCGGGTGAATCAGTATTGCCCTCGGGCTCGTAGGGGAAGGAAGGGGCTGATACATACGTTGAAATAGAAGTAGAGGCCCATGGCAAAACAGCAAACAGTCAAGATGCCGGACGAGACCATGAGTACAATGCGCCTTCCTAGGTTGTCCACGATGAGCAGGGAGACGATGACGAACACGATCTGGGCCGCAGCCATCACCAAACTGGCCTCATCGGCCGAGAGGCTGATCGTACCCGCGTCCTGGTAACAATATTCCGGTTCACGGTCACCATAAGAAGATAGGCTCTATTATCATGCGGTCCCGGATGCTTATTGCATCGGATATCTGGCACTTGTCTTAATCTAACGGTAGGTGCATCTATAAATCAGCTCCCACTTCAGAGCCGAAGAGATAAAATTGATGACTCACTCTGAACATCTGACTAGCGTAGAAGCAGACAGCGTCGATGCCGGAGAGTTGCTGCAGCAGCATGGCGCATATCGCCAACGCCAGGCCTTTCTTGGACGCCCTGGTGTTGAAGGCAGCCGCCAGGGAGACACCCTCGTCCTCCTCGGCGTTGCACTTGAGGGTCGCCTCCAGTTCGGCGAGCTCCCCGGTCACGTCGGCCCCGCCGCGGTAGAAGCTCAGGGCGATCCGGGCCTTTTCACGGCATCCCGTGTGGAGCAGTATCCACCGGGGAGAGTCCGGCAGCCACATGAACAGCGCGGCGAACACCGCGGGCACCGCCAGGCAGAAGATGTTGAGCCAGAGCAGCGGCAGCTGCAGCAGGACGAGCATGGGGGTGGTGGCGGGGAGATGTAGCGCCTGCGGAACGAACGTAGGCAGGCCCGCAACGCACGGGCGCGCGCGCGCGGCCTACCTCGCCCCGCCAGCAGTGTGGCACTTACGTAGGCGCCCAGCAGGTAGACGACGAGCACGCCCGCGCAGATAAGCAGCTCCAGGTAGCTGCCGAGCGCGCCCCGGACGTCGCTCTCGCCCACCTCGGACGTGTAGATGGGCACGACGACGCAGGTGGCGCCGAAGCAGAAGCCCGTGAGGACGCGGCCCAGCACGAGCATCCAGAGGCTGGAGGCCCAGGCGTGCAGCGCCCAGCCCACGATGAAGACGGGCGCGAGCCCCAGGCAGGTGGTGCGCGGGCCCAGCGGGCCGAGGAGCGCGCCCACCCCGACGCAGCCCAGCACCGCGCCCAGCGTGAGCACCGAGCCCACCCAGGACCACTCGTCGGCCGTCACCGCGAAGCCCTGCTCGCCCTGCTCCACCGCGGCCGCCGCCGAGGTCCAGCCCAAGGCCGTGCCGCAGCTCAGCGCCAGCAGCGAGACTGAAACACAAACCTTTCGTTGAGCACGCGGGGCTTCGCGTCGACATGTGGAGGCCACCACGGCGGCGTCGTCCCGGCAGGCCACTCTTACCCACGGCCGCGCTGACATGCTGCGTGGTCTTCCCGCCGAGGCCCGCGGCCAGGCGGTGGGGGTGCGGAGTCGGAAGCATCCTGGGTCTCGAACCGAAGCGGTCGGTCTCGACTCACGGCGCAGCAGGTTGGCTGCTAAAACAGACCGCCCGGACCCGGTCCACGCCTCAGAAGTCGTTTTTCCCCCGGGAAATCTCTGGAAGAGAGTTCTGGCCTGTATACTGTACAGTCCTGCGCGTGACGTGCGGTCTGGCCGGCTCGTCTGCATAGCCGCCGTTACGTGTGCAGGCTGACGAGGCTGGTCAGAGCGTTCACCTACTGCTGCTGCCCTAGCAGACGGCGGGCGGGGCGGGCGGAGCACTACTGCCGCCCAGAGGCGTTTGACGCCGGCGCTGACCGCTCGCGTATCAGTCGACCGCGGCCACGGCCCGGCGTGGTGGAGAGCGGCCCGTCCATGCGCGGTTCGGACTCCAAGCGAAACACGTGCACGGATATCGGCCGCCGGCTGGCCCTGCGCGAGTTCTGACCCGAACCGGCTTCGGGCGTCAACTGGTGGTCGTGTAGGTTCTACCCGTTCCCCCTTCCCCCTGCTCCTCCTCAACCCCTCGACCCCTCCCCTCCCCTCCCGCCAGACTGCCCAGCGCAGCGCCCCCTTCCTGCGTCTTCCTCCGGACGGGAGGGCGACTCCTGGCCGCGGTCGCTCTCTGTCTGTTGGGGCCGGCGACGGCGCAGGCGGGATGTCGCGTACGGTGCAAATTGGTCCGACCGGTTGGGAGAGTGTCCCGTGTAGCACCGCGAGAGCAAAGCTTACGACAGGTCAAGGTGCAGGCTGACAAACATCCTCCAACCCCACCCTCAAGTCGAGTCGTTGAGGCTATTTGCACAAGCTTGGTCAAAGATTCAGTTGAAGTGGCCATTGTATGTTGTCAATAATCCGACCTTATCCTGGAAAAACTCGGATATCAGTACCTATGGCTTGGAATATCAGAAGTGTAGTCAAGCTGTGCGCCCCATAGGTTGGCGGCGCTGGAGGAGCGGTATGTCGGGGCACTGACCGCACTGACTCTACCTCTTACGCCATCTCTTACCCCCCTCCCCCCTCTCCGTATCGCTCTCTCCGAACGCATGCAAGGCAGCTATTCCAACTTCAATGACTGCTTGCATCGCCCCCCCCGGAAACTGCTGCAGCGGCGGACGGGGACCGATCTGACTTATTCGGCTTCATATAGTGTTTGGCCGCCCCGTATCGCTTACCGGCGTCCTGCTGGACCCACGCCAGTGCCTCGGTTTCCTGCTCTCTGGGGCGTTCCCTGTTCGCCGAACGGTGTTCGGCTTTCCTTTCCCTCTCTCTCACCAACACAAACATGCGAGCGCGCGCGGCTCCTCAAGCCTTAACCACAACCGAGCAGCCAATTTAAGTACTCACCGGTCAGATCAGGATCAGGGAGACGAAGGGCACTACAAGCTGCGCGTCGGGCGCAGGGGAGCTGTCTCATCTGGGCCGGGGGCTGCACATGTCTGCGCGCGCAGTGCGCCCCCGCCGCCCCCCAGCTGCTCCCGGCCCTGTCCGAGTCGCCAGGACCGCCGCCGCACCGCTCGCTCGGCGCGGACTCTAATCCGCGAGAGAGAGATAAGCCGAGCGGCGCGGCACGCGGATCATCTGTGCGGGGCGGAGAGCGCCATTACACGCCAGACGCAATCAGAGGCCAAGGAGCACTGCACTAAAAACTAAATTTAAAAATCAGCGTACCCCCTCCCCCTTCCATAAAAAAAACAACAGAGGTAATCTGAAAAATATGAAATAATCTTGGAAAATCAAGAAAAATCTGGGAATAAAACCTACGGAAAATCAAAAATAAAGCAGTTTTTTTTGGGGGGGTGCGAAAAATCGCCAAAACAAAATATCGGTGAATGCGTGAATTTACAGTAAAGTCATCGGGGCACGCTCGTGGGTTCGAGTCCCTCGGTGGGCGCGACCATGTACCATGTAGGGGTTACACCCTTATGATGACTGGAGCGCATATCTCAGCCGATCATCTTGCGGGCGTGCCCCTGCTCCTCACTGACCAAACTCAACTGCAGCCAGTCTGCTGTGGCGGCCGCCAGTCACTTTTTGACTTTTTGCGTGAAACGAAATAAAACCGGACGTGCATTTTGATCGCACCTCCACCACATACCACACACCTACATGATTTCTCAAACCTTTACTGTGTGTCAAGGCTACGACAGAGCAGTTAGTTTTGGCCTACCCGCTCAACTCACGAGGTGCCGCCATGGCCCCCTGGGATAGGCAAACCCGCAACACCGCAGTGTCGCAAAGTATGCATTCATAGACTGGGTGGGTATAACGTCGTGTCGCTGCACCCAGGCACGGCACAGCCCGGGCAGGTTCTGTTCTCTCCGAGGTGGGGCCGCCGCCGCGGCCCTAGGCAGCCCATCGCGCACCTCGCACCCGCACCTCGGTCGGTATCCGCACCTCGCGCCCACCCCCGCCGCAGCCACAGCCGCAGCCGCCGCCCGTCACCCGACCGGCTCCCCTTGGACCTCGCACCGCATGTGATTCGAGTAAACGGCAATTGCGAAAAGAGCACACAGAGATAGACCGAAATCCAGGATGTATGTGTGTTTCCTCCCCGTCGGCACCGGGAAAGGGGAGGGCGGGGGTCTCATTTCTGACGCAGTCGCAGCCTCGTGATGCAGGTGACGTCACTCCACCGCACCGGCGCATCCTTGGACAGGCCGCGACCGCCGTCATGTCATGCGGCTCGAGGCGCCGACCCTGCTGCTCCTCCTGCGCCTGTTGACGACGCTCTCCTCGCATTATTGCCCCCGGCTTTAACCAGCGCGCTCCCCACCCACAACCACCAGAGTCGCGAGTCGTTCACAAAAACTAAGAACGTCAGGCCCAAAACAATAACAGATATGCGTCCAATGCAGACTCTTCAAAACCCCCCGCCGGGCCCGGATACAGCGGGAAAAAAAGCCGGGCCGGGGCGGTAAACAGGGCCATAACCGGCGCGTTAGATACCAGGACCAGGGCGCGCCGGGCCGACGGGGGGCGGTCCTATATCTGGCACTGCCGTATCGCACAGCCTTGCGCCCGAATTCGGCGTAGAGATGCCAACAAAGTCACACACCTTGGTCGGTCAAGTGACTGGCTGCGCGATAAACAGCGGCTTTACCCTTGTGTGTGTGTGTTCGCACTCCGCACCCCCCTCTCCATTCCCCTCTTTCCCCGTTCTTCCCCAACGCCCCCTCCCTCCCCCTCGCCTAAGACAGTGCACTGACTCGTACGGGATTACGGTTCGAGGCAAGACGCCGCCA